ATGGTATGTACAGTTGTTGCAAGATTTAAATATTAATGTAAAAGAATCTGTAAAGGTATTTGAAGACAATGCTGCCTGTATAAAAATGGCAACTGGTGATAGGGTGAAGAACAGAAGTAAACATGTAGACATTAAGTATTGTAATGTCAGGGAAGCTGTAAAAGGAAAATTGATTAGTTTACATCATTGTTCTTCTGAGAATAATTTGGCAGACATGATGACTAAACCATTGGGTGGTATTCACTATGGAAAATGTATTAAGTCTATAGGTCTGATGTCTCTTCCTGTCATGAAGGGAGGAGTGTTGGAATATTCATGAGCAGGAAGAGTCATGTGGTAACTCAGTCAGCCAATGTGAAGAAAGTGCTACTGAGTCTGTGCAAAAAGGTTATTGAGTTAGAAGCTGGGTTTCAATTTCAGGTCTCAGGTCTGTCTCTGCTGTAAGAAGTCTTCATTTATGCTATGTTGCTATGAAGAAGAATATATGGTATTGTAAATATTTTTATATGAATATAAAGAGTTTATTTGAATCAGCTAAATGCAGTCAACTGTGAGAGCTTCTGATTTATTTTTACCAACAGAGAAAATTAAAATTCTCTAACATAACTGCTCACAGATGATGAGTTGTTTCTAGAATTGATATACTTCTTTTTCTTTACAGGTGTAGTGAGTGCAAGACTGTCTTTCACAACAGTTGTCAGGCAAATGCCAATTTCTGTCCTCGTTGTGTCCGCCGGCAGAAATATCAGGAACTGCAAGAATTCCTTTGGAAATGATCTCAACCGTGCCAGTCCTTTGGATCAGATTCTGGAATTGGATAAAAATTCTGGAATTGTCCAGAAGGCAATTGGGAAACAGAAGCTTAGGATCAATAGAAGGCCACTGCCAGCTGCACACTTTCTGTTCGGATTATAGTCCTACAACAACCAGAGCACCTTGCCATCAGCTCTGGGAAAGGAGCCCACAGAGATACTTCTTTGAATTCACCCATTATTGCCATTAATTTTCATGCATTCCTGCCTTCCCAGGCAAATTCATCCTTATCCTGACATTTGGTGATTACTGGATATATTAAAGGGATATGTAGCAAGAACTCCTAAAAAGACTGAAATTAGTGCATGTGTCTTGATTTAAATTGCCAGAGAAAAGGAATTTTATTTTACCTTTAACAAATGCACTTTCCAGCAGATTTCTCGTGCCTTCTACACTTTGCAGACTGCTTTTAAAATGTCTTGTGCCAAAATAGCTGCTGAATTCTTTAGAAAGGCACTCCATCCTTGGTGTCCTACTCAAGCAAAGTGACCTTCTTATAAATAAGCTATTATTCTTCTCTTTTAAAAAAAAACGCTCAAGTGTATTCCAAACTTGATTTTAATATTTTCTTTTATTCTCCTATGCAGATAATTAGCTTTATTTAATAAACAACAGATGTCTTTTATGAATTCATTACTTCTGTACAGTAGCTTATTTGTAAAGTGACTATAGGCTTCTTGTGGGTTTATGTTCAAACGGAGATCAGTAACATCCTGTATTCAGGAATATGTGCCACAGAGATTCTTAATAATACTAAGGAGAAAAGGTTGGAGCCTGGATGCTGGAAGAAACTGGATTCATTCATTCATTCATTCATTCAATTTGTACAACTGCACTTCTTAATAAGTGACTCTGGGCAGTGGACAAATTTAAAATACTTGAAATACCAACAATTGCAGGAATACAAAAATTAAAATATATAATAGCAGTTGAGAAATATATCCTATAATCGCTAGGATAACCAAAAAACAGGTCTTTACACATGCTGGGCCCCAGGTAGATGATGATGTTACAGCTGGAATAGGGAGGACTTGCCTTTCTTAGAGGGTAGTAAAAAGATTGGTCTAAGGTTTCCAGAGGAGTAGGGCACGTATTTTGCTTCTTAAAATCTATGAAACTGGAAGAACTTGGAATATTGGTCATGTCCATTCCAAGGATTCTCTAAGTCCAATAAAAGTACAGGACCAAAGTGATTAAATAAAAATGAAGATTCACAATGATGTAATTACATCACCACATATTTGAAGTATGATTACATATTTCATCAGCATAGTTAACATGCATCATCGGACATACCAACATTTCTGCTCCCTCCTCCATGATCACCCACGTATTTTAAAAGGATTTTTCTTTTGTATTTCTACAAATTTCCTTTTTTCCATAGAGCAAAGTTAATAATATAGCTTCAGTCACAAAGCAGAGGAAATACCATGTGATACATGGTATTAGTTGGGGTTCCAGTTCTGCATCTGTCAACATCTTGCTTTGGGGAGTACAATTTTCTCAAGGATCCTGTCAACTATCCAATTGGCATTTCCAGAAAAAAAAAATCCTGGGACATGATTTTACCAAGAGTATAATACTTTACTGAAAATCTACATTGGCACAGAAAAAGCAAAACCAGCTCTGATTTTCCCACTCAAAGGCTTGCTTAGTTAAACAACAGACTCCCTTGTTCCCACCCACTGGGTGTTCACATTGTCCAATAGTAACGTTTTTTCTTGTGATGGAAATAGTCCACTTCTCCATCAAGCACCTGCATTAGTGACTTTGGCTCTCAGAAGCCTCGGTTGCCTAGATACTACTACTACCCGTTTTGCGTTCCATCTCATTGTCAAGATATGAGCGAAGTGAGAAAATGTAGGTGAAAGGGCGAATCTGTCTTGACATGCCAACCCCCCTGGAAAAAAGGCAGACCTGGAACAACAATAAACATATATACACATTATTATGTACAACCCAATTACTGCTATATCCCTTAATGGGGCTGTTGAGAATACCTAATGTGAAATTTCTTAACTAACCTCACTGTCCACCCACTCAGTATTTGCTAATGGATGGCTTTTCCACAGTACTAGATACTGTAATTTTATCTTGTAATATCTGAAGTCAAGAATCTTTTTGATCTTGTAGTATTCCTCTCCCTTTACTAAGATGAGAGGAGGAGGTGGTTCTTTGACTGGTCTCAAACCAGATTCCTGAAAAGGTTTTAAAAGGCTGCAATGAAATACTGGATGAACTTGCCTGAGGCTTCTAGGAAACTTCAGCTCCACCATCACCAGATTCACAATCCGGATGATGTGGAAAGGCCCTATGTATTTGGGACCTAACTTTTGCCTCTCTACCTAAAGAGCAAGACCGATGGGAATATGCCACTCTTAGAAGAAAACAACCAAGAGCAAAGCCCCTACTATCTACCCTAGCCCACTCGAATGAAGCCCTTCTGGAACTGAATGTTCACTTTCATAGTATCTTCCCAGAAGAAAACATACAGTCACAACAGAGCATTCATCAATAGTTTCTAAAAAAAGAGGCACAACCCAGCATTCCTGTGACAAGAAGAAAAGTATTCCAGACTCCTCTCTAAAAAAAAAGGTAAATATTAGCAATAGGAGATTCAATTCATAGGGGAACAGAAAAAGTCAGTCAATCTAGGGAGGTATAGCAAAAATCAAAGATGTAACTGATTACCTTACTAAAATAATCAACCCCATGGATAAATACCCCTTTCTTCTCCAACACGTGGGGACCAATGACACAACAATAAATCTTAAAACAATAGCAAGAGATTATGAACAGCTAGGAAAGAAAGTTAAAGACTTAGGAGCACAAATGGTGTTTTCATCTATACTTCCAACAAAAGGCCAACACCCAATGAGGGAGCAAAGATTTTTAGAAACAAACCACTGGCTTAAAAACTGGTGTTGTCAACAGAACTTTTCTTCCTAGACCATGGCCTGCATTACCTAGATCAGGGGTCAGCAACCTGAAACGGTGAAAGAGCCACTTGGACCCGTTTCCCTCACAAAAGAAAAAACTAGGAGCCGGAAAATGTGCACGTAACGTAGCTTGATTAAAGAATGGAGCCTAAGCAACACATGCACCAGCCCTGCCCCCATCCAGCTTCTCTTTCCCTCAGAAAAGACTGCTCTCCCCCCGACCCGCACTCTCCCTCTTTTGCTGAAGCAGTGAGCAGGAGGCCTGCCTTGGGCACGGCGGGGCTGCTGGAAGCTGAGGCCCCCGAAGGCGCAGACCAGGCTATCTTCCATAGCGGTGGGACAGCGACTGCGGGAGCAACAGCCTGCTCACCTCTGGCAGCAGCGGCCACTGCGGAGCCATCTGGTGGCTATTAATCCAGCAACCAGGCAGAGGTTGGCTTGCGATCGGTTGGGCAAAACAGGTGGATAGGATTGTAGCCAACGATAGTAGAATGTTAGAGCCGCCAACTCTGGTCTCCACCCGGGCGGGCGGGCAAGTGAAACCCCAAAACCTTTTGCATTTGTTTGCAAAGAGAAGACGCTGGTGGTGCACAGCCCAGACTGTCAGCGTTGCCGTGGGACCACCCCCTGTGGTGCCAGCTAATGCAGTGTGCTTCTCTTTGTAAACAAACGCGAAAGGTTTCGGGGTTTCGCTCGCCCGTCCGCCTGCCTGGTTGGAGACCCTGCGCCGCCCCTTCTCCTGTGCCCAGGGAAAGAGGGCCGGCCCCGAGCCTGTCTTGGAGGACCTTTTAGGCCCCGGATACCCCACCACCACCTCCCCCATCAGCCCAGGCACTGTGGCTCCACAGCAGGAGGTAACCCTCCAGACCTTCGGTACTCCTGGCAGCAGCAGTGGCGGTGGGAGGATGGCGAAGGGGCGCGGCTGCCTGGTCACCGCCACCTCTCCGGCATCACTCATGTGACCGCTGACAGCGGCGGCGGGATAGCGAAGGGTGGCGGTGGCGGCTCCCCGAAAGCGGCCGAGGAAGGCGCCATTGATGGGGCCGAGGTGGGGTTGGGTGGTGGAGAGCCCTGTGGTAGCGGTGGCAGCGGGAGGATGGTGAAGGGCGGTGGCAGCGGCTCCCCGAAAGCGGCCGAGGAAGGCGCCACCGATGGGGCCGATGTGGGGCATGGTGGTGGAGAACCGCACGGCAGCAGAGGCAACGGGAGGATGGTGAAGGGCAGCGGCGGTAGCAGCGGCTCCCCAAAAGCGACCGAGGAAGGTGCCACTGATGGGGCTGAGGTGGGGTTGGGTGGCGGAGAGCCATGTGGCAGCGGTGGCAGCGGGAGGATGGCGAAGGGTGGCGGTGGCTCCCCAAAAGCGGCCGAGGAAGGCGCCACCGATGGGGACGAGGTGGGGCTGAGTGGTGGAGAGCCGCTGTATCGTCACATTCAGGGGCACACCAACCTCGGAACTGGCCAGATGGCTGAGCAACCGGATCAGCCATCTTGTGGATAACAGCACAACCACCATAAAGTCAGCAGAATTCTTTGAGAGAATTAGACCTTTAAGAGTGGAGGATGATGAGATGATGGTGTTCTTTGATGTTACCTCACTCTTCACCTCCATCCCACAAGACCTAGCAATCACAGTTCTAAAAGACCGCCTGAATGAAGAGGGCAAAGCACAACATCAGGACTCCTTACAAACCAAGGATTTGGTGAAATTGATAGAGGCATGTTTAAAAACGTACTTCACCTTCCAAGGGACCACGTATGAACAAGTTAAAGGGACACCAATGGGATTCCCTATTTCAAGCATAATAGTGGAGGCAGTCCTCCAATGGCTAGAGCTCATAGCGATGACCAAACACCGACCTAAATTTTGGGTCCGTTACGTGGATGACACGTTCGTCATTATCAAAAGACGCCAAAAAACAAGCTTTATGGACACACTGAATTCGGTATACCCGGACATCAAGTTTACAGCAGAGGAGGAGAATCAGGGTTCCTTGGCCTTCCTGGATGTGCTAGTTAGCCGTGAGCCAGATGGAACCCTACACACAAGGGTATACTGAAAACCAACACACACTAACAGAGCCCTCCATTATAAGAGTAACCACCCGGTGGCCCATAAAGTAAGCTGCGTCAGAACGTTGTTTAAACGTATAGATTCACACTGCAGCACACCCAAAGCAAAAGCAGAGGAAAGGAACCATCTCTTCCATGTCTGCAAACATAACGGCTATCCAGTAGGGTTTATCAAACGTCACAGTGCACCACCCAAACCCCAGGAATTCACAGACCAGCAGGACATCAACACAGACGGTACGTATCCCCCTCCCATATATCAACAATGTGTCTGAAACAACAGCTAGGCTACTAGCCCCCTACAACATAAAGGTAGCCCACAAACCGGACCAGACATTGTGCTCCAGGATCATGCACCCCAAAGACCCACTCCCCAACGAAGAAAAATCGGCGGTGGTATACAGGATTAATTGCAAGGACTGCCCCTGCAATTATGTTGGGGAGACCTCCAAAAGATTGAAGACCCGGGTACATGAGCACAAGCTGGCCGTGAAACAGTGCGAACAGCACTCACAGGTATGGACACATATGACTGATTTTGGTCATCAGTTCGACCTCACTGATGTGCGTACCCTATCCAGCAACACTACTAAAGGAGGCCGCCTACT